CCATGGTTCTATACGACTATTGCTTCTAGATTTAATAACGTAATAAATTCCGCGAAAACCATTCGTAGATCGGGAAATATGAAAAATAGAGAGCCAAGGACCGCTCAAAACTTTTGACATGTAGAGGCAAGACACTGATGATGTCACGGGGAATATTTCAGCTTTGGAGAAGCTGAGTTCTGAGTAACATACTCGCATACGAACATATAATCATGATCTCTACGCGGAAAATACAAGGCAAATGAAATGCAGCTAGGTGTTTACGTTTTCGGCGTTGTCTGTGCATATACCTACTGCATTAAAAGCTCGTCCTTCTTTTCATTTACTGGCTTGCAATTTTCGGGCATGAAATTATTCATGTTTCTGAACATATAAGATTTTATACTGGAGATGAAAAACGTACTTCTTCAAACGGCTTGCAAATGGTTTTGATCAGGGACCAGTTGGACGTTGCCCAAATACGCACCGTTTTGTCGTCGGCCTACAATGAGCTGCAAACGAAAATACAAGTAACGATGCCACAAAACCTGCGATGCTAGGTACTTTCCCAACGGATCCCAGCAAACTCCTTTCACCAGGCCTTGGTGACCCTGTAGAACAACGACTTTCTCTGAAAAAGTCATCATTAATTTAATGTACGACGATTGCATTCAAGCGAAGTCGGATCAACATACCCGGAAAACGAAGCGCGTTCCAGACGATGACCGAGTTGTCGACGCTACACGACGCCAGGTAAGTGTCGCCCGTGGACCACGCCAAATGCAGCACGTCTAAATCGAGATTGAACGGAGAATAAAACGAGTGAAGCAAAGGAGTAAACACGAACCTCCGGAGTGACCGTTCAACACTGATGAGCATTTCCACAGCTCAGCATTCGGAAATAAGCTGCTGTCCCCTCCGGAGAACGACTTTAATCCGGCGGTGCGTCCGGCAAAGTGCCATATCATAATTGTCTTGTCATCACCGGCGGAAGCTAGGTATTTACCTGTACCGCACCAACGAACGCAGTTTACACAAGCTATAACAAGTATTCGTATCAGAAACACAATCACACCTAAACCAAGCAATAGGAATTTTCACATTTTCACAAATTAACGTATTTTACTCAATTAGCCGTTAAATGTCCAAAAGGTTTTCAGCCACTAGAGTTAGTTACTGAGTTCAGAGGTGATATACTGTTCCGCCGATATCCGATCAACTCCATTTATCGTATTTCGTTGTCAGGAGCTGCCTCTTAAACAAATCAGATACAGCTGTGTATGCATTATCTGACAACTGGTCTTGCGGATCCAGAAGTCATGCTCTGTTAAAAGTGTAAGACCTGTTGAACAACCGATAAAAGTGTGGTGATTCAATGATTCATGAGTTTTATTTGTGTGAAAAATTGGTTTCACCGTGAAATTGGTAAAAGGCACATGTTCGATCAGCTGGTACATTTTGGCTGTATATGATCAGTGCCACAACAACCAGTGCTCGAAAGCTGATACTCGTTAGACATACAAGAGTCAGGCATCCTCAGTCTGGTCAACCCTGCTTTTCAAGTTTCTGAGTTTACTAGCCTTGGATGACGATAACGACGATATCTGTACAGTGCAACCACGTCACCCGCATTTCTCGTCGCCAAACGACTGGATTCATAAGCCAGGAAGCTTTATTAGAGGACGGAGAGTAACTTGTGTTTCTGCACTTTCATGCGATTGTCTTAATAAAAATCGCTTGAACATTTAGTTCATGGAGAAAAGAACAAAAAATCACTTTTGTTACATAGGTCTCTCCATTCCCAACGAATCAGCTAGAACAGATGAACCACACAGCAACTTAATGCTACTACTTCCTTCAGGTTGAAGAAACCCATGAAGTGCAGGCCCAAACGACGGCATTGGTCTATCAGTCAAAAGACCAACTGTACTGCACTGTGTTAAAGCAAACCAATATTCAGTCAGCCATTCAATCTCGATGACCACTTATCCTTTCACCTTGCGGAGGCAGATGCTCCAAACAGTGCCTCCTACATTCCTGATTCTGCATAAGCGTTAGAGCTTCGGCAGAAGATGGCCCGAGTCTGCAAAGGCAGTTGCCTCAGGTCATTCTTAGCCGTTTGGCGGTTTCGGTCGATATATCGTTTTGTATTGTTTCCTTTCATGTGGAAAATGTCAGAAAAGCATTTCAATGCATTCCAGAGTGTCATGATTCAAACATTAAAACAAATAATAAATTTTCGGAAAAATTACATAACTTTCTTCTTTGCACACAATTTCCTACTGTTAGTGCGATTGAAATTTTTAAATACGAACGGTGGGGCTGCATGTAAATTAGTCAATCGTAACCGAAGGCATGGTAGTGTATCGCTCTACAAAACTCTGACAACTGATCATGATAATGAAATTTAAAACTAATGAATTTTAACTGGCCACTTTTCAATTAAAACTACGTCTTCTAGAACACACGAGAACCAAACAATACTGCCAAAAATAAAACCATTCAAACAGTTTCAACATACTGACACACATAAGCAAAAAATGCTGTTTTCAACGTAGAATAAACCTATACTCACCGACATGACTGTCCAAACGACACAACAATTTAGGCACTGCATTATCATTCTCTGCCTTTGAATCGATCAGCGGCTTTAGATTCCAGAGAATCACCAAACCTGACCCGTTTCCACCTTGGCCACCAGTAACAAATCGGTTTTCAGATGGCTGAAAGTCGATCGAGTAGATCGAATGACCTAAACGTTACCTCAGAAAAATCCTAATGCGGTTTTTTAGACCTACCCTCATGGTGAACCCAAAATGGTTTTATTAACTGCATTATACAGACGGTTATTAACACAGATTCTTTTGATCATTGGCAAAGATAATCGCCGGAGCCGTTAATCTGCTATGGGACTGCAAATGTTAAGATGAATTTTGTAGACATCATCAGCAATACCTTCATTAGCGAATTCGAAACCTCATGAAACGTACTGTAATTCGATCTGCAAGTGTTATTGGAGGAGAATATTAATGTTTGAGTTTTCATACTCTACCGAATCGTTAGAACAGCGACTTTTAATAAGGCATGTATTTGCCAACCTTGGACCTTTGCACCAAAAACATGTGGCCTTTGGAAATGACGACGTTAAATTTTTATGAGTGACACACTTATTTAATCAATCTGCGTTCTCAACGTGCCCCACTCTCTGTCTTGTAGACAGGTGGAAGCCCATAAGTTTCTGAGAGATCGATAGCTTCGCAGAGAAGGAGTACCATTCGAAATTATCTGCTGTAGCCCCAGAAGCAGTGTCATGAAACTCTGACTCACTCTGGATGTCGAGTAAATTTATTTTCTGAAACATGTTCGTAGTACTTCCGGAAGTAAGTTGCAGAATGTTGCTGTTTAAAACGGTTTGGCCTATTGCTTGGAGGTCAGAAGAGAATTTCCTTATAGATACGAAAAGTATAACTGTAATTCAAAATGAAGAAAGATGTATTCAAGAAATGGCTCGGAAACAAAGAGCCTGCAACTCGCAAGTTTCATGAAAAGCGCGCAGAGCGGCAGCGAAAACAGTGGTGAATGCCAAATTGATTGCTGAAAGAAGTTCGGTGAGGAGTTATAGACGAATTTCCAGACGGCAAAAATCGTATTTTGACAAACCATTCCTTGTCTCCGTGGTGAAAAAAGGGCAGTCTAAGAGTCTTGAAGAACAAGTCTGGACACCATCTTACCGAGGATTAGGACATATTTCGGCGATGGAGCGAGCACTTTGAGGGACTCATTAACCCCGAGCAACCACAGGAAAATTTGCTTGTAGAGCAGTAGCGAGCGGATATCACTATCTCTGTAGATGAAATTACACAAGGTGTGTAAAGCTTGAAAAGCGGAATGGCTGCTCGAACTCGAACGATGAAATCCGACCACAACCACTCTAAGTATTATGCGAACAAGGCATTTGCTGACTTACACCTGTCTGTCAAATTGCAATGGCTACGGGGAAGGCACAAGCGGACTGGAGAAAAGGGATTGCTATGCCCCCCTTTCAAAAACGGAGAGCATGGAAACTGCTGTAATTATTGGGGCATTATTTTATTGATCCTCTTGGAAAGGTCTACTCAAAAGTGCTAGAAAAGAGATGCCGCGGAATTTCTAATTCTAGGAATACGATACCAGTTTAGATTCGGGCCTACCTGAAACATTTCTGAACAGTTATTCGCCGATTTCTTGAAAAATCCGGGAGTTAGCCTATTCGGTGTACATGTGTCTTGTTGTCCTACAATCATATGACCGGATCTCAGGCAACAGTCCGTGGTCGTGCATGCTGGCGTACGAAACAGAAGGCCAGCTGCTAAGGACCATCCAATCACTGCATTCTGATAGCAGGTGCTGCGTCACAGTAAACCGCA